GAGATACAACAGTCTACACCATGGAGCAGGGAGATACAACAGTCTACACTACGGAGTAGGGAGATACAACAGTCTACACCATGGAGCAGGGAGATACAACAGTCTACACCACGGAGTAGGGAGATACAACAGTCTACACCATGGAGTAGGGAGATACAACAGTCTACACCACGGAGTAGGGAGATACAACAGTCTACACCATGGAGCAGGGAGATACAACAGTCTACACCATGGAGTAGGGAGATACAACAGTCTACACCATGGAGTAGGGAGATACAACAGTCTACACCATGGAGCAGGGAGATACAACAGTCTACACCATCATGGAGCAGGGAGATACAACAGTCTACACCATGGAGTAGGGAGATACAACAGTCTACACCATGGAGTAGGGAGATACAACAGTCTACACCATGGAGCAGGGAGATACAACAGTCTACACCATGGAGTAGGGAGATACAACAGTCTACACCATGGAGCAGGGAGATACAACAGTCTACACCATGGAGCAGGGAGATACAACAGTCTACACCATGGAGTAGGGAGATACAACAGTCTACACAATGATGGAGCAGGGAGATACAACAGTCTACACTATTTGGGGAAAACCCAATAGAGTGATGAATAGATGAGTGAAAAAATATTGGTTACCCAATGAAAAATGTAATAACTCAATTAAGATCAAACCCTAGAGTAAAAACTCATTTGCTCAAAAAGTTATCTGGAGCTCTGCGTACAGTTACCGGTAGTGTCAATCACTGTAAGACACTTTGCCTCCCAATATATCACAATGCGTATCATAATACAAATACCCGTATCAAAATTTACTGCAATACAATTTGTTGCTAATACAAAGCCCAAGCAACTGTATGGAGCACAAGGCTGATGTCTCCAATCCTAACCCTCATCAGAAACAATGTCATGTGCCCTAACAGGAGGATGACGACGTTGTCAATCCCACTATTGTGGGAAGTGTACTGCTTGCTAAGCACAACCTGTCCTGTCTATATACACCGATGACTACACCTCGAGTCAACAAACGTCAACAACAACTGGTATTGGGGACTGCATCCAAGAAAACAATCAGGTCCTCTTTATCAGACCTAAGTCAGTTAATGTGTGAGTGTGTGAGTGAGTGAGTTGGGTTTAACGCCGCTTTTAACACTATTCCAGTTATATCACGGCATGTCAGCTTAATGTGGGAGGAAAGCCCGAAGTGATGCAGGTCTCAGACGTTTACCACTTCGGTGAAACCCACGAGCACAAGTATGGTGCTGACAAACCTAGAAACATAATCGGGGCGAACCGGGATTCGTACCCACAATCATAGGTTTCTGGCGTTCCCAAGGAACGCAACTCTGCACAGCGAATCGCGGCACCTTAGACGACTGGGCCACCCGTGCCCCCGGTCAGTTAATGGGCTTACTTAGGGCTCGATTTAAGGAACTTGATTTAACTTGCCCTAGGTGCATGTTGACCTAGTTGCACAAACAAACAAAAACAGGTTGCACCTGGGCCCCGTTCCACAAACCGATCTTAGCGCTAAGACGACCGTAACTCCCATACTTTGACATAGACGATGTAAGTCGTGGCGCTACTTTGAGGAACGGAGCCCTGGTCCCAAAAAATATATCAAGGTAGATGAAGAGATTAATCAAGTTGTCAAAATACAAAAATCACAGATCTCCGATGACTGTCATGATTTTAAACAAATTAATTTCATTTTGCTGTAAAACGTAAAAGGAACGTGCATATGATCTTCAAGTACCCACAGTTTGAAGTCAAGAAACATGACAAGTCACATGTAACAGGGACTAGTGATGCAGTATGGTACATTAAGCTTTGAGGTATTGAGCCGATGCACTTGGTGCATGTAGACATAAATATAAGGTTGCACTTTTCACTGGTGGATGTTGTACGTTAACGATAAAGCAGGACTCCGAGGTTACGGTTGAGGAAGTCAGACCAAGGCAAGAGGGTATCGTCAATGTAAGATTGAGGAGCGAAGCTCTGACATCTTACATTGCTGATACTCAACTGCCGAGGAGGAGTAACCGAGGAGTAACCGGGGAGGAATGCTTTATCTCACACATAAACCGTCTAAATGCAAGAAATACCAGCAAAGATAAGAAAACATCGAGATACCTTATAGTGAAACAATACAGTGTGTCGCGGTATAAAAGGAATTTGCGAGACAAAAGCCATGTGCAGCATGGGCCAACTGGATTCATGACGTAAAATTGAACAACTTTTCATCACCTGACCCAGTGGTTTAGTGGAGTGAGTTGTGTTTAACAGTATTCCAGTTATATCGTGGCTTGTCAGCTTAATGTGGGAGGAAAGCCCGAAGTGATGCAGGTCTCAGACGTTTACCACTTCGGTGAACCGTACAGTGGAAAAACAGTGGGTTAGAAAACTAAACACGGTATGTGGGGTGGGGTGGGGTGGGATCGGTTGGTGGGGCTCGTGTGACAAGCATGAACTTCAGAGGCTGCGTATTAATACTAATAGGCCATTCCACATCACTCCAACTTGTAACACCTGTCTGGGTATATACTGGGTCAGAGATGGCAGATTAACTTCTACAGAGCTCCAGGTAACTTTTTGAGCAATTGAATTTTTACTCTAGGGTTTCTTATTTAATTAGGTTATTACATTTTTCATTGGGTAACCAATATTTTTTCACTCATCCATCATTACTGTATTGGGTTTTTCCCAAAATTAGTGACCATTTTAAAATTTAAAAAAAATGAAATAATGTTTAAGATGTATATACCTGTTCTAAACATATAGGCTTGTTTAAATTAGCTCGTAATTGTGTTTCACAAATTAGCTTCTTTGCACGCATGCTGGAAAAGCTTCATTTGGTATTTACACATGCTGCTTTTACAATTTGAATTTTTCATTTAATGCAAGCGTTTCTGTACACAAGTTAATTGAAAGTAATTAAGTTTTGAATATTTTTGGGGGGTATTTTACACAAATAGGCTGCTTGTTTGTAGCTGTGCTTCTAAACATGATTGGTCACTAAGTTAATTCCAACAAGTACACTCTTTCAGACTACTGTGTTGTATGCAACACAACAACATTTGCAGTGATTTTGCTGGAGACAAAAAATGTTTTTTTTATTTTAGCAACTTTGGAAAAGAATATGAATTTGACATTTTGGATGACAATTAATCGATGTCCAAGAACACAAAGCAATCTGGAGGACTATTGAGTGAGTGAGTGAGTGAGTATGGTTTTACGCCCCTTTTAGCAATATTCCAGCAATATCACGGCGGGGGACACCAGAAATGGGCTTCACACACTGTACCCATGTCGGGAATCGAACCCGGGTCTTCGGCGTGATGATCGCACGCTTTAACCACTAGGCTACCCGACCGCCCCGGAGGACTTTTGAGGAAAAGAACTGAACCTCACAGATTTGGATCAGTCTCAGTCTCCAAACTAATTAGGGGATGTGTGTAAGAATTGGCCATTATCACTGAATAAATTAATTCCAAGTGATTCCATGGCATATGAAAGGCTAACCAAGCTTTCTTTTTGCATTCATGTTTCCATGATTCGACTAACTAACTGACAACTGTGTCCTGATTGGCTGATAATAAAATAGGTGGGGCTTGTGTTGAATTAATGCTCTGAATGATGTCACTGATTTGGTTCTGTTGTCTACAGTGTATGTGTAAAGTTTGTTTGTTTGTTGTTTAACGCCGCACTCAGCAATATTTCAGCTATATGACGGCAGTCTGTAAATGATCAAGTCTGGACCAGACAATCCAGTGATTAATATCATGAGCATCGATCCACGCAATTGGGATCGATAACATGCATCAACCAAGTCAGCGAGCCTGACCACCCGATCCCGTTAGTCGACTCTTATGACAAGCATGGTCGCCATTTACAGCAAGCATGGGTTGCTGAAGACCACGGATCTTTTTAGTGTAAAGGCTTTAATAAGCAGTTGGTGTATTTATTTCTCGCATGCACATATATTTATACCTCCATAAATGCATAAAAATATTGAAGTCAATTCTTAATTACAAGTCACCTCATTTTAGTTTACCGTATTCGACGTAATAAGCGCCCCGTTCTAATAAGCGCCCACGGAGATTTTTGCTAATATATTGGCTAGTGAACAATCCCAATTAGCACCCCTTCCGATTGATCAATGTACACAAGACTTATTTATTCGTGTATAATACGCACTCGTGTGTTATATGCACCCTTAATTATGGGCAATTAAATTCTGGGAAAATATATCTGTCGTTCATAAACATTTCAGGCTGTCAGCATACACCACAAAAATTATCTTTCAACTCTGTTTTTTTTCACCAAAATAATATTCTAAAAAGAGCCCCCTATTTCTAATTTTGAGAGCGCCCTGGGTGCTTATTACGTCGAATACGGTATTAAGAATTAACGTCCAATATGTGCGTTCATTGGAGCAGAAGCCTTTATAAAGTGAGGGTCAAACTGTATAAACTGAATTTTAAACATCAGAGGCTCTGATACAGATTCAACCAAGTACACTAACATGCCATGTCTTCAAACAGTCTTTTAATGATTTTCAGTAAATCAGAATCTGCACATTTAAACTTTTACTAGCTGAGCTTATAAAACCAGAAGCCATTTGTCATTGAGAGTGAATCATGTAATGTTGCAGCCGTTCATGGATAGACTAAACCCACAGGAATGAGAACACAGCATCACACATGAAAGTCAATGGACCGATCCTTTAATAACCCTCGTGTTAAAAGTTACAGATTTAGTGGGTCTTTTGATTCACAGCTGATATTATTTACACTAATTTTGAAACTTTTATTTCCATTTTGGGAAGTTAACTGTCATTTGCTGCAGACCCAGGCCGAATATCAGCCTCTGAGCAAGTCTAGATAAATCCCTATGAATATCTTGTTTAAAAAGCCACTCAACAACCAATTACATCAAGGTGAAGTAAAGTGTGAAACCAACACAATCATCAACAGCTCACTACTCACCATTTTCTTGCAGTCGGCCTTCAGGTCGGTGTTCTCTCGCTCCGCCCACGCCCGGTGTACCCAGTCCTCGCTCATGATGGGGATCCCGACGCTCACCGCGAACTGAAACACACGAGATGACGACGTGTTGACCCAGCTCTGACACACAGACTCATTGCCCACTCAACCGTAGGTCAACAAACATCAGCACACTGTTTGTCTGGCGTGTTTGTGGTTAGATCAACACAGGGATCACACCAGTCACAATAGATGATGACGAGAAGCTGGCCTCAGTCACACCTTAGTGTTAGAAATACGAAGGGGATCCTAGAGAGATCCCAGTAAAATCCTAGTGAGATTCTAGTGAGATCCTAGTGATATCTTAGTGAGGTCTAAGTGATATCTTAGTGATATCTTACTGAGATCCTACAGAGATCCCAGTAGAATCCTAGTGAGATTCTAGTGATATCTTAGTGAGATCTTAGTGAGATCCTACTGAGATCTTACTGGGATCATTAGCTGCTTTTCACTCATAATTTCTAGCACTGGCTCATAGTGACATTGGGAACACAACAAAAGGTAGGAACTGTGTCATTGTCGTGTTGGTTGGGTGTCATACAAATATATAAATCTCACTGTGAAATCTAGCAGTCCAAATACTTCACATACATGAAGACAAACAGGTTTGAAGTTTAGCCCATAGTCAAAGCCTTATCATCAGACAAACTGGCTTGGCTAGTAGGCTGGAGTGAGAGGTTTTTTATTTTTCATATTTTCCTCATAAAAATAATTATGATCTCACAATCTCATTACTTCAGATCTTTTCCTCCAGTTCAAAAGAGGATGAGTAGGTTCTTGAGCCAATCAGATGTCAGCTTTCTTAAACAACTTGGCTTCATTTTACCTCAATTTGAAAATTTCGATTTTAGCAAAACTTAACTGACACAACTGAAATATTTTATAGTACACCCTTTTGGCTCCAAATACCATGGCGCTCACAGACAAGATGCATAAAACATTCACAAGAACATAATAGCACAGCTTTACTTGCTTGCATTCAGAACTGCCTGTTCATATTTGTTTTCGAGAGACAGAAATCAGTTATTCTTATCTGAATGCTTTGCTCACTTATACCTAGAACATAGAAACCTCAATGTTGTTTGGGTGATTAGAAAGTTCACCTGCGTAAATTTAGTCCTCTTCACAACGGTATCCTATTGGATTACAAAACCTAATTTTTGAAGATTTTTGATTTTTTGCAATAACCTGACCTGATTACGTCTCTAGCATTTCTGCATATCACAAAATACTGATGGCAGTACAAAATGAACCAGTTATGTAAGTCTTGTTTGTTTGTTTGTTGTTTAACTCTGCACTCAGCATTATTCCAACTATATGACGGCGGTCTGTCAATAATAGTCTGGACCAGACAATCCAGTGATTGACATCATGAGCATCGATCCACACAATTGGGATACGATGACATGCATCAACCAAGTCAGTGGGCCCAACCTTCCAATCCTGTTAGTCGCCTCTTACGGTTAGCATGGGTGGGTGAAGACCAATTCTCTACCCCGGATATTCACGAGTCAGTTATGTAAACTAAACATAGACTGTTTGAAAGCAACAACCTGTTGGCGGGGCCACATGAAACATTTAGAATTTCACATGAAAATGGCGCCAAGAAAGAACTGTGCTGACTATGAGGTTACCAAAGAGCCAAAAGCAGATTCCACATCAATACAATAATGGTAAGTGGTTCCAACAAAAGGAGACATCGGAGTGGTTTAAGCAGTGATTGGGAAGGGAAATGTTTTTTTCATGGGCGTTTGATCTCATGTTTTAGGAAATTGTAGGCCAGTTTTGGCAAGACTAAAAAATTTCACTCCATGGGCCACTGACACTTGAAATGGGCCAAAAATTCAAAATAAATTCAAAACAATTGCAGTTGAATAAAACACTTTATTCAGCAATAACTTGTCAAATGCATATGCCAGTTGCAAGGTGGCACCTCAGTCAAAGCATGTGGTGATCAAGTTCTTGATGTAACCAGTTCAAATCATACGTTATCAGAATATTTCGGTAGGATTTAAAAAATGAACAATTTCGAATGAATGAGTACTGGCCACAGACCATTTCTCTGTGTAATTTCTGAAATATTACGAGCATAAAGTTTACTGTACCAAAACCTTTAATTTTTTCTGAAAGAATTACATACATATGTTGAATGACATATGACCTCTACTAGGCCTAGACTAAAGTTGGAAACTTCTCATTATCATAAATATTATTATGGTGACTCTGGTATTGAGATGTGTGTGATACATGAGGTAGGTGTCTCACAAAACCCCCTCCCACAGCCCTCTAAGTAGCAACCGTTTTGGTGGCCAAATGCATCTTCAATCTATGCCTGGCGACCTAATTTTATCAATTGGCTACCTAAGAGAAAACATAACTGACACATCTGTTGGCTCCTAAAAACTTAGGTTTGGCTCCTAAAATATTCATGTTAGGAGCCATTTGTCTCTGAAACTAAAACACGAACTTAGCTTACCAAGCTATATCTCTCCCTATTGAGTACAAGAATTGTTCCTTCTCATTAAAATCAGATTTTAGTTCTTGCTACCGCTAAACAAAGATCTGAGGACATCCCATTACGGGTCATGTCAGAACGACCTTTCATCTGACCAATCAAAGCGTCACTTACCTGATCATGAAAGTGACAGTTGGAATGTCTTTTCTAATCATGCAACCTCCGAAACATTAACAAGGGTATTCCGAACGACAGTTATGGCCCATATGACTAATTCCGTCAAAATTATCGTCTATCTCTCGCTTCCGTGGGATAAACATTTGAATGGAGGAGGCGTTGTTGCACAGAACGTGGGAAGCATTGCCCTACAATCCCAACCATATATTAGACGTTCCGGAATGTTTGTTTATTCAGTTTTCAAAATTTTAATCGAGAACTGTGTCAACATATTTGTCAAGCGTAGTCTGAAATGGAAGTCGCCAGGTTGAAACGAGTGCTGTAAAGCTCGAGAAAGCTGCTTTCTTATTGGTTGATGTCAACTTCTTGTTAGTAATTTCAGTGGTCGGTCAAAGTTCGCAAAAGGTCATTCTGGCGTGACCCATAATGGGATGTCCTCAGATCTTTGTTAGGCGGTAGGGACAACTTAGAAATGATATTAATGAGATTGAAGAATTGTTCTGCACCGTGTGGCGATACGGAGTACAACAAGCTACTCACCCGGTACTTCTGACTGCCTCCACAGTTGGCCACCAGGTGGGTGACCTTCGTGTTGATGTCCTTCCTCACGCTGCCCGCCATGTGGTGAACCAGATCCACCAGGTGGCACTGTCAACAACAGAGAGACTGGGTGTTGAGTGGAGCCAAGTAACAAATATACCAAGGTACAAGGGAGACAACTCTTAGCAGTATTCCGATTCAGGAGGGTCATGGGGTCCTTTAGGCACTTAAACCTGGGGACTACCTTCGTCTCTGTATCATGACTGACGTGGTTAACACAAGGGAGACAACTCTTAGCAGTATTTCTATCAAGGGGGGGATTGGATCCCAAGACTTAGAGGCATTTTTTAGACCAAAATCACAAATGTCACTTAAAAAATATCGGCTGAGTTCCATGGATCTTGTGAAAATCTTGAATGTGGAAGACAGTAGGGACACACCTCGAGTTGTGTCATTCTAGGATCAGTCATCTAGTGACCATTCCCTTTCAAAAAGCAAGTATCCTACTGGATAGCATTCTAGCAATTTATGAACAATTCTATTCCAATAAATGACCAGTCCCAACATAATGTTCAAAATGTTATTAGAAAAAAGAGAAATGTGTTTTCATGCCTCCCCACAAAAAGAATTGCATACACCCTTCTTTTGATGCATCACTTCATGACATCCCCTTAATTTCAGCCAACAAACACACACCCACACCCCAGCCCAAATTGCAATACATGGCCAGTATTATTATAAACCAACATGAATGCATGTGTGTGGCGACTTGTTCTCATCCAGGCTTTTGCTGTTATAGTGCTCTCCAAATGAGATACCATGCCACGGTTTAACATGGATACCCCACTCAGACACAGTACACTGACTAAGAGCCGATCCGTGGTAGAATAGGTTTCTAGCATCCCATGCTTGCTGTTAAAGGCGACTATGCTTGTCGTAAGAGGCGACTAACGGGACCGGATGGTCAGACTCGCTGACTTGGTTAATGCATGTCCTCGATCCCAATTGCGTGGATCGATGCTCATGATGTCAATCACTGGATTGACTGGTCCAGACTCGATTATTTACAGATCGCCATTATATAGCTGGAATATTGCTGAGTACGGTGTTAAACAACAAACAAATTAACAAACCAGTCCTTAATGCCAGGCAGGGTAACAATAATTACCACCTTATTGTAATACATTGTGAAACAACAATACATTGTGTAATTACCATTGTGACTTCAATAAACTTTAACAATTTAAATCACTAATGCTGTCTGTATTATGTGAACAATTATCTTTCCGATACACCAAGGACGTAAACATTATTACATTTGGTCTTTGTAATGATTTATATAAACTTGCTTATTTTGAGGGGGTGAGCGAGCATTTCACATCGCAACATCAATATTTCAGCCATCAATAATTTTGCACCATTAGATAATAATCTGGTCTCTCACCACTTGGTCCCGCACTTTGAATCCAGTGAAGCACACAATCACCCCCTTCATGGAGGGGCAGAACTGGGGTCGGCTGGAGTAAGGGAGGGCCTGCAATAAACACAATAAACACAATAAACACAAGGAATAATATGGGGGTCGAGGGTTGATATGGGGTATGAAAACTTCCATATAACATTTTCATCATAAACCAGAACATAAAATTGTAAAGTGTATCTATTTGGAAGAGAATGCAAAACATTTTCTCCTTGTTTGGGACACGTAAAGATCCGGGGTAGAATAGGTTTTCAGCAACCCATGCTTCCCGTAAAAGGCGACTATGCTTGTCGTAAGAGGCGACTAACGAGATCGGGTGATCAGGCTCGCTGACTTGGTTGATGCATGTCATCGTATCCCAATTGCGTGGATCAATGCTCATCATGTCAATCACTGGAGTGTCCAGTCCAGACTCGATTATTTACAGACTGCTGTCCTATAGCTGGAATACTGCTGAGTGCGGTGTTTAACAACAAACAAACAAACAAACACCAAGCCACTGTCACCACGGTCACAGGAAAGCTAGCTGATGCAGATAAGCCAATGATGCACTAAGGGACGTAACTCTAACTTCCTACCACCCAGGCTCATATCAGTCGCTCATTCAAAATACATGACAAGCCATATCAGACCGGCAGGGGGTGTAATACTGGTCTGGTTATTACACCCCTGTGATATGACTGTGTCCATCTTAGCTCTATCGCACATGCAAAATTCCTATCATTGATAGGTATATACCGTATTCGACGTAATAAGCGCCGAGAGCTCTCAAAATTAGAATATTATTTTGGTGGAAAAAAGATGAGTTGAAAGATAAATGTCGCGGTTTATGCTGACAGCCTGAAATCTTTATGTACGACAGATATATTTTTCCCGAATTTAATTGCCCATAATTAAGTGTGCAAATAACGAGTGCGTATATTATGCGAATAAATAAGTCTTGTGTACATTAATCAATCGGAAGGGGTGTTTCACTAGCCAATATATTAGCAAATATCGCCGTGGGCGTTTATTAGAGCAGGGCGTTTATTACGTCGAATACGGTAATAAACATAGCAACAAATAGAATATGGTAAGCGTGAGAAATAAACAGAATAAGGTGATGGTGGTAGTATCACCTTGGTATTTGATATGTAAACAGTAAATCTTAAAATTAACGCGAGCGTAAATTAAATGCAAAAACATGAAAAATGCGAGTGGTCTTTTTATTTATGTTTCCAAACGACTATCAACAATAAGACGGCCTCGCTGCACACTTTGGATAGAGGAAATACACAAAAACACGGTTTATTGAGCAGCAGTTGTAACAAGTATCTAACAATGTCATTCAAAGAATAGGAATTACACAATGGGCATCCGGTGAGTTTTCACTGCTGGGGTCAAGAGTTCTACCCACTCGTGACAAGCTTGTTGACACCTTCTCCGCATACTAATCAGTGAACTGTTGTTGGTACAATTATTTTATTACCTTTGAACTTCCTTAATGCCAGTCAACAGAGTAAACATATATAAACTGTATGTTGTTTTCAGGAAAACACTGTTTATTGTTTTTACGGAAGTACTCTACTCAGCGCTAATAAGCAGTGTTATTTGCTGTTTGATTGGATTAAGGTAAAGATGTATCATTGGTATGGGGTGGGGGAGTCGCATTGATATTGAGTCACATTTTTGGCTAGGTGTCAGCAGTCGTATTAATTTGGAGACGCATTAATTTCCAGATTTACAGTACCGTATATGACCGCGGATAAGCCGACCCCGTAGATAAGCCGAGGTGTTAACTTGACCATTGAAATACGAAAGAAAATGGTATGACCCGCAGATAAGCCGAACCAGGAATTGAAAGGCAAAAAACACTGTGAAGTCGGACTGCAAGACATGTGCCGGTACTCGCAGATATTCAAAAATATAAGATAAAAACGTTGTAATTATATTGAAAAAGTCATTATTATTTCTAATAAAGATTTAACAAACCAGTCATACACTTTCATAATGTGGGAAGCTTTTTCTCGTGTTTTTTTTTAATATCATAATGATCGTTATATGTTGCCATCAACAACGAAGCGCCATTTTGTGAATCGGTGTATATAGAATTATGAACCCGTGAGAAAATATATCTGCTAGAGCGAAGACTCGCAGTTTGAATTCAGCATCGTAAGCATGGCGTTTTCGTTTCAAACTCATGATGAGAATGTCAGTCAGTAAAAATATACCAACTTTTATAACCCCCTTTACACCACTATTGTATGTTAATCCATTTGAATTAAATAAACTATCATACTATGAACAATTGAATGACCATCACTTACTCACAGGCTTTTCCAGTTTATTAAACTAATCTCTCGAAAACAAAGGAATTAAGCCCCTACTCCCAACACGATCGCTAAGCACCCACAACTTGAAAATGTTTGTGTAAACAACATGACAATACCAATCGGCCCGTTATTATCAATGCTCATTTCCTTGTGTACCGTGTTGCTTTAAACAACAGGAAGCAATCACAGTGGTCACCGTTTGTGACGTCACAGGAAACAGCTGATCACATGTTTTTGCAAATGGCGAACGGAATAACTCGCCGATACAGTTGTTTATTTGCCTCTTTCAATAAAGGTAGACACTTGTTCACTATCAATTTATGAACTTTGCAAAACGTACGTAATAGCTATTGGCGATTTCATCTGGGGATTATATATTATAGCTGTGAATTACATATATTGTTACATGTAAAGATTGTGGAGTTTACGAAGAACGATAAACTTTGAACATTCAATTGAAAACTTATTATCGGAAGTAGTAACATGCATAACATTTTTTTAATAATGACAACATTGGTGTTTAATAATTACTTTATTGATAATTTATAACAATAACGGCTCTAGTCGTGGCAACTTCCAAACTTTCGGGGAGTTGTGATCTAACGGACCGTCATTCAGGCGATGTTTTTGACAGATCACGATCTGAAAAATACTATCATGAAAGTGTATCCCTTGGATAAGCCGACCCCTTTCTACAGAATCTTTTTTCTGGTCCTCAAAATTCGGCTTATACGCGGTCGTATACGGTATCTATTATCTAAACAAACTTCAGTAAACACAAGCCACGTACCTCATTTGCTGTGACAGCTCTGATGATTGCCGGAGGTCCCAGTATCCTCGCCTCGGCCTTGTGTAGCTTGTTGTAGACGTCCCCCTCGAAACACGACAACACAAACACTGTGTCATACTCTCCAGCATCCGGCACAAACTCCAGGCCGGTCGGGGAGCTCACCACCTCAGCTTCCTCCACTGTCTGCAACACAGCAACCATCATGTACGTGTTGTTGGCGCCCCTTTCACATTGGATTGGGCAAAATGGCAATGTATCATCAGCGATAGAAATTAACAAGGGTAAAATATGTGTTCCGTGACCATAGGTGAGGTGAAATGGGGTTTAACGTCGCGTCCAAGATTATTGCACTTATATAGCGACGTGCATGCACGTGTGTGTGTGTGGCTGCTTGTACTAGTCCGGACTGATGCTGATTTATAGTGCTAGCTCACTGAGATACCATGCCGCAGTTTAACATGAATACCCCACTCAGACACAGTATACTGACTCCGAGCAGACCAGTCCTTGTTTTAGCCCCTTAATGCCGAGCGCCAGACAGGGTAAAAACAAGTACCATCTTTTAACGTCTTTTGGTATGACGCGGCCGGGGATCGAACTCCGGACCTTTCACTCTCCGGGCGGGCGCACTACCACTAGACCACGGAGACGGTCTCCGTGACCATAAGACATTGACTTCCTGTAGGTTTTGAGTGGTGGGGTAGCCTAGTGGTCAAAGCGTTTGCTCGTAACGCCGAAGACCTGGGTTCGATTCCCACATGCCCATGATGGGTACAATGTGAAGCCCATTTCTGGTGTCCCTCGCCATGATATTGCTGGAATATTGCCCAAAGTGGTGTAAAACCATACTCACTCACTCACTCCACAGAGCTCCAGATAAGTTTTTACTCGAAGGTTTCTATTTTATTTGGGTTTTTTCATTTTTCATTGGGTAACCAATATTATTCACTCATTTATTCAGCATTCTATTGGGTTTTTCCCCAAATGAGCTAAAACACTGTGAGAGTTCAAAAAAAATAATAATATTTTTTTAGATGTATATAAGGGTTCTAACTAAAGGCTTGACTTTGAAAGAAAATTAGCTCGTAATTGTGTTTCGGAAATTAGCTCCTTTGTACGCATGCTAAAAAAATCTTTATTGGGTATTTACGTATGCGTGCTGTTTTTATACATTTGAGTTTTTCATTTAATGCATGCCTTTCTGTATGCAAGATAATTGAAATTAATTGGGTTTTTAATATTTTTCAGAGGTATTTGACACAAATACGCTGCTTATCTGTATCTCTGATTCCAGTAGGTTACCTTGGTCAACCACTATTATACACATGTCAAGCGAGTCACTAAAAACAAATTGTGTAATAATCGAGCCCCTCTTCCCGTACACTCTGAATTTCACCGGCTAAGGGGAGTTTAGATTCATAAGTGGAACTACTGAATTCAAAAAGACTCATATAAGTTGGTTCTCAATACAACATACAACATTTAGTTGTAAACATTAAAAAACAACAAGACAACAACCATATTTTTTGTGTGTACTAGAAAATAATACACCTGTGACAGGTGTACCGCCTGACAAGATATCAAAACATTTTGCTCCTGGGCCCACTTGCACAAAGCGATCTTAGCGCTACAACTATTGTAAGGCTATGTTAAAGTATGGGAGTTACGATCATCTTAGCACTAAGATTGCTTTGTGCAAGTGGGCCCTGGTGAAATGCCAGATTTAATTTCTCCCAATCATTGCATTCAAAATCATACGAGTTATTATGTTTGTGAACATGCCTCCCAAAGTATAGGTTGGTACGCCGCTATTAGCAATATTCCAGCAATATCATGGCGGGGGACACCAGAAATGGGCTTCACACATTGTACCCATGTCGGGAATGAAACACAGGTTTTCTGTGTGACGAGTGAACGCTTTAACCACTAGGCTACCTCACGGCCCCCACAAACAAACAAAAGGATCTTTATGACTCTGCAAATCTGTAAACGGTTCAGCCAATTGTTATGCAACTGGATTAACTTGAGGTAAGGATCATGTGCTTCTCCTACAAGCACTGGTCACAAGCACATCGTTTAACCAACCCTGTCTTCAGTAACAGCCAAGATGGAAGTGCGAGAGAGGTGCTTTTATCAATTGTACATATGAAAGTACAGATCGTGACAGCGAGTCATTTTCTTGCAATAGAGAAAAATTATGTTAGTGGTGATTGCTTTTATTGAACACACTCAGAGGGAGACACCTCATTGCCAGCACACAAAGCCAGCGATCTAACCCTTCCACAAAATGAAAGTCTTTGGAATATGTTACCAGAAAACCTAACGGGGGCAGAGACCGTTACACAATTTAAGAATTTGGTTCACGTAAAGGGAGATAATGGTATACACTGGGATTTAAATTATGGAAGCAGATTCTGCCAAATCATTCACAGTCGCCTCAGGCTTGGCTACAGCGATCTTAACGCAGATCAGTATAATAGACATATCTTTGATACAAAACTTGTTCCTGTGGATATCACACCGAGGATGCTCTACACTTCTTTTTTGTGTGTACAAATTTCTATGCTCTTCGAAATGAAATGTATTTTTACCAACATGGTTATTCTTGACAAACAGTGTTATGTGGAAATTCGGATTTGAGTAAGGAAGAGCAAATGCTAATATTAGATTCTATTCAACACTTTATATTAAAAACTGGCAGATTTTCTATTAAATGATTGTTTAAAATAAACTGCAAATAGATGTATTATATGTACACATCTAGCTTGGCATGTACAGTTCATTTGTTACATCTAACCTTCATTAGTGTATTCATTGTATCATATCTTATGTGTAATGGAGTGGTATTAACATAAGCGCTTTGATTGTTTACCAATCCATTTTCACACTTTTGTGAAAATAAATATGTTGAAACCAAATGAAAGTCCGATAACTGGTAGTCTAGCTGCCATACTTTGAGCAAATCATGGAGCACAATTTCAACTTTGTTTGAGAAAATTTGTCCCCATTTAGAAACGGAAGGTCGGACAGACGAACAAAGTTCCTATACCCCCCGCCCTGGCGAGAATAATAATGATATTGACATATAATGTTAAAGTCCCCCCCACCCATCCCCCCCCCTCCAAAAAAAAATCATAAGAACTTTACAAACCTTTTGTCCTCTAACATTGTGTCTAAAATTATAAGAACTGCCTTGGAAAAATTGGATCAGTGAATCCTGGTTCAGCAAAGGGGCATAACTCATAGGGAGGTACTCCTCCCAGGATTGGCTGAAGGAGATCCAGAGCCATGTCCTCACCTGTAATGCTTTCCTGAGGTCCTCGTTGTGCTGGCACTCACTCCCCACAAGGACGAACCGCAGCGATTTGCCATCTGCAACAACCACGATCAACATGTCATGGACACGCCCACATCTTCAAGGACACATCCATATATAAGAGCAAGAGAACAATTGTAACTAAAACCAATTCCCAACCATAATTACCAACTATTAGTCGCTAATGTTGCAGTTGTGCGTATAGACTAGAAGCAGTTAGTACTATTTAGTATTAGCCAAAACAGTAACAAAGTGTAAGCAACATCTGTCAATACAACCATGTTTCCATGGTTACTTGAATAAGCTGACTGTACAGAAATGAATAACTAAGCTATCGTCAGTATATATTGACAAGAAACTTAAAACTTTACAAAGTTAGCATGATAATGAAAGCTGATAACATTACATATGCAATAAGCGAGGTTAGTAAATTGACAAAAAAAAATGAAAACCATAAACTATATAGGCAACAGGTTGCAGCATTGGATTGGGTTGCTTGGTTGGTTTGTTGTTTAACACCGCACTCAGCTATATGACAGCTGTCTGTAAAATAATCGAGTCGGGACCAGACAATCCTGTGATTGATATCATGAGCATCGAACCACACAATTGGGATCGATGACATGCATCAACCAAGTCAGCGAGACTGACCACCCGATCTCGTTAGTCGCCTGTTACGACAAGCATAGTCGCCTGTTACGGCAAGCATGGGTTGCTGAAGACCTATTCTACCCCGGATCTTCATGGGTCTGCAGCATTGGAACAATGAGTGAGTAAGTATGGTTTTACGCCGCTTTTAGCAATATTCCAGCAATATCACGGCAGGGGGCACCAGAAATGGGCTTCACACATTGTACCCATGTCGGGAATCGAACCCGGATCTTCGGTGTGACGAGCGAATGCTTTAACCACTAGGCTACCCGACCGCCCCCATTGGAACAATGATATACATGCCTGTCATGACGATACACTAATGTAAATGAAGGTCATGTTTACAATTGTTGCATTGTGGCAAGAAGACACTGAAGATGTGATAATCATGTTTGTTTGTTTGTTGTTTAAATCCACACTCAGCAATATTCCAGCTTTTTGACAGCGGTCTGTAAATAGTCGAGTCTGGACAAGACAATCAATTGACATCATGAGCATCGATCCACGCAATTGGGATACGATGACATGAATCAAACAAGCACATAATAGCACAGCTTTATTTGTTTGCATTCAGAACTACCTGATCATATTTGTTTTCAAGATAGAGAAATAAGATATGCTTGTCTGAATGCTTTGCTCACTTGTACCTAGAACATAGAAACCTCAATGTTGATTGGTTGATTAGAAAGGTCACCTGGGGAAGTGTCCTCTTCACACAGTATCCTCGGATTACAAAATCTGATTTTGAAATCTTTCAATAACTTGACAACTTTCTATAGCCTATCACAAAATACATGCTAAATCAGATCACAGAACACTTTTTAAATGAACCAAATTAACCAGTTATGTAAGTTTTGTTTGTTTGTTTCTTGTTTAACGCCGCACTCAGCATTATTCCATAGTTGCCTTTTGGGGCAAGCATGGGTTGCTGAAGACTACTCTAACCTGGATCTTCACGGGTATGATTATCAGATAATGGTAGGGCTGTGATTAGGAGTGACGACTATTGATCTGGAAATCACTATTGCGATAACTATTGATATTGAAAGAAACTATTGCGATAACTACCGATATTGCAACCAACTATTGCGATAAATATCGATAGTTTTCAGTATCATTTCAGATGGATTTTAGAGTTGATTTAAACCTTGAAACTGAAGTTTCCTTTGAATGTGATAACCATTACAACAAATAAAAAGTAAAGTTTGAGATATGACTGATTTGTTTTTTCTATACCTACATAATTTAAGAAAAAGAAACTTCCAAATTACCATGTGTAAATTACTTCCACTCATGATCAAAAGAAAAACAAATTTGAATAGCATTTGAATCTAAACTATCGATATTCCTAACTGAAATCGATACTATTGATCGGAAACTGATTTATGATTGAGTTTGGTATAACGCCGCTTTTAACATTATTCCAGTTATATCACAGCGTGTCAGCTTAAAGTGGGAGGAAAGCCCGAAGTGATGCAGGTCTCAGGCGTTTACCACTTCGGTGAAACCCACGAGCACGGGTATGGTGCTGACAAACCTAGAAACATAATCGGGGCGAACCGGGATTGGAACCCACAATCATAGGTTTCTGGCGTGCCAAAGGGACGCAACTCTGCACAGCAAATCGCGGCGCCTCAGACGACTGGGACACCCGTGCCCCCGGAAACTGATTTAACAATCGATATATTGACTTTAGGTGCTTACCAATAGCAATATATCGATATTTTGATTTATCATGACACCCCTAGTTGTGTCGTCTCAGGGGCATGCTGGGAAGGGAAGTATCTGTACAGTAGCCAATATGTTTGTTGTTTTACGGTGCAGTCAGCAATATTCCCGCTCTAGCATATGACATAAATATTATCAACTCAGCAGCGGTAGAAACTAACAGGTTTCATCCACTAGTCCTTATAATGATAACACATAGCAACACCCTTAAAAGAGCAAATTTTTACTAGTCCTTATGATACCTTTACTATTGGGCAGTTTGGCAAGGACTACAGGACCAGTGCCAGTTTCTAACGGGGAGGTGAACTTGGGTTTAACATCGCGTCCAAGAATATTGCACTTATATAGCGATTTGCATGCACGTGCGTGTGTGTGTTTGTACTAGTCCGGACTGATGCCGATTTATAGTGCTAGCTCACTGAGATACCATGCCGCAGTTTAACATGAATACCCACTCAGACACAGTATACTGACTTTGAGCCGACCAGTCCTTGCTTTAGCCCCTTAATGCTGAGCCTCAGACAGGGTAACAACAAGTACCATCTTGTAACATCTTTTGGTATGACGCGGCCAGGGATTAAACTCCGGACCTTCCGCTCTCTTGCTGACTTGTTATTGTATTTGTGAGTTAATATTCGTATTCATTACCCATATTCGTGATACGAATTGTATTCGCTGCATAGTGTATTTGTTGCAGCCCTAGTATATATTTATCCAGTAACGAATGGTATTGCACTGATTTGTTGTTATGGTTCGGTGTTTTTAAACTTTCACACTCACTGACTTTTTAGTACATTTCTCAGGTCCAAGTCATTGACCTATACAATTTTTGGTGTCAAAATCACTGCACATATTACATATCACGTGGAAACGCCTTGACCACATATATTTCAGAGTAGGTTAGAAAGGAAAAGCTAGCTGCAGACATATCTTCCAAGAGGCTATTTTTAGTAGTGGACTTAAAAAGCTAGGGGTGAAAAAATCTAATTAAAACTGATATTTTTTCATTTCCTCTCCAATTTTTTTCAGTATTTTGGGTCAGCAGATCCCTAAACCAAACCCTAAACCGTCTGGACGCTGCCATTTTGTTTAAAGAAAATGCAGGTGAAAGAGAGGTGAAATCTGATTGGTCAAAAGAAGGGACATAGAAGGGACAGAACTCATATCTTCCACTGGTGGCGCCACGATCGAGCTACGAAATTCCAGCCTAGTTCGGCAAGGATGGAAACTGGACTTTTATAGCCAGTTAACTCCCTTGCCTCAGGAAGCTGCTCTCTTAGTTTTATCAATGAACATTATAAAGGGCAGTTAACAAACAAACAAAATAAACCATTAATAAACAATGAATTATGACTTCTCTACAGCTTCCTAACTTCAGCATTTAACTTTGTGAGCTCTATGCAAAAATAAAACATTATCCAAAGTGGACATGTCACATACAAAGCCAAAACAATGAACACGGATGAAGCATGTGAACAGAATGTTACAGATGGATGATTGAGCAATGAAGAGCTAGATTAGACTTCGGAGGTAAACATGGTAAACATACCACTATATCTAACAGAACTCGTCTGCTCACGTATGTTGCACCGAGACTGTATAATGTGTTGTTGGCCACGTTTAATATAAACTGAAACAAACAAAAGTGTGCAACTCAAATAAAACGGACATGTGCATGCCAACTACATAATACATCCTAACTAGGACTATGAACTCAGGGATGGAAATTAACCAAGAACATCTAATCTTCAAACCCAATAGTGATAATATACAGCAATACCCCCAACATTTTTTTAAATTCCACTTCCCCTTAGGATACCATTAACATTGACTGACTGAGTATGGCTTTACGTCGCTTTTAGCAATATTCCAGCAATATCATGGCGGGGGACACCAGAAATGGGCTTCACACATTGTACCCATGTCGGGAATCGAACCCAGGTCCTCGGCGTGATGAGCAAACGCTTTAACCACTAGGCTACCCGACCGCCCCCACCATTAACATTGACAAAACTGATCCAGGCTAGCAGGCAGAGCTCCAGATAACGTTTTGAGCAAATGAGTTTTTACTCTAGGGTTTCGATTTTAATTGGGTTATTACATTTTTCATCGGGTAACCAATATTTTTTCATTCATCTATTCATCACTCTATTGGTTTCTTCCAAAAATTAGTGAACATTTTAACATTTTAAAAAAATGAAATAATGTTTAAGATGTACTTAGCTGTTCTAAATACATAGGCTTGACTCCGAAAGTAAATTAGCTCGTAATTGTGTTTCGGAAATTAGCTCCTTTGTTCGCGTGATGAAAAGCTTCATTGGGTATTTATGCAAACTGTTTTTATAATTTGAGTTTTTCATTTAATGCATGCGTTTCTGTATGCAAGTTAATTGAAAATATTGGGTTTTGAATATTTGGGGGGGTATTTTACGCAAATACGCAGCTTATCTGTAGCTCTGCTAGCAGGCTATTGCCAATTTCCATCCCTGATGAACTAAAGAAAAAAGCAAAGAAAACCAACAGCACTGTAAACAAGAACCAGTAACCATGGTAATGTGTGATAAAGAAACGTTGTAAACATGGTCCATAAATGGAATATCAGTGTTGATACAACATGTATATTTGACAGATTATAAACTAATGGAAAGAAATAATATAACAGCCACAAACATGATAAAGGCAAGACGAATGTATTTCGTATATAATTCTGTGGGTAACCTTAACATAACCAGAGAATACTCTGTAGTAGTCATCATGGTAAACACACCAAGTTAGCATATTCACGAATAATTACAGGGATAGAATGTAAATTCATGGTCCCTATGTTTCAATGACATATTAAATTATATATCTTCTTTGGTAATGATGGTTATTGATCAACATGATCAATTCAGGGATAGTTTTGCCTGCTGGTGAGAATTGGGCATTGTCCCTCAGACTGTTCAAGACATATTTCATGGGAGATAAAATATCACCTTATAAACATGAAAATCCCCGGGTCAAATCATTGTCTATCATGTTTTACGTGCATATATGTTAGTACAGCAATAAGTAAATTAATCAAATGTTATTCTACTATGATTATTTTGATTAATAAACTTATTATAGAATTTCCTATGAACAACAGTAGCAGTTACACAATGGAAAACAATCAATTATTAGGCTTTAAACTCAAAGTAGACATTTTTCTATTGTCTTGAGCGAGTTAAAATATATATGCCACATCAATAATAAAAGGTCAAAGAATCGGGTTGGAAAATCTGAACATATCAACATCCAGGTTGATGTACTGTTTCTGTTTTTCATTTATAGTCTATTATATAGTCTACATCAGAACGAGTTGAAATATGCTTGCCAAATGTTTCATATAATTTATACGTTGTGTGTATGTACATATCAGGGATCGACAAAAGTTGTCTCTAAACTACTCAGACCATTTAAGATTCAGCAAATACGACAGACTACTTGAAAATCTCCCCTGGGAATGAAAGGCCACGCCTGCCACATGTTGCGGAGTTGTGGCTTCGGTCACGCCTGATCACCTGTCATATATATCCACAAAACTTAAGAGAACACTTCACGATCGAGCTCCTTTTTGAGGTTTTAATCTAAACGATCCTGACAAAAAACATAAGGTAGTATATCAATGCTTGAATTTGAAGAATATCACGTGTTTAACGTGTATTCAACAGGCGACCCTTTCATAATCGGTCCATCACCGAAAATGTAAACACAAGGTCGACACCTGTTTGAATGGGTGAAAACAAAATGCGACATCGGGCCAGTCGCTATCTGCTAGGAACAAATGTATCACAAAATGTTACATTTCATAGATTGGCATGATAGTATAAATTTGAACCATTCGATCGCGACATACCATCCTCTTTCACAACCTGAAGTACTCTTCCATCCGCCATTGTTTTGGGCCGACATGAAACTTTGAATTTGGCGGTGGTAAGTTAAAAGCCCACACCTGATTGGTCGTTTTTAACTTCCGGTATAATATTTCCACGAATAGGATATAAGTTAACATAAATTTGGTACATAACATTACCTTACAACTTATTAGACACTGTATACTAATGGACTTGGTTTCGAACCGAAATAAATATCAAACGACCGTCCTGTTGCGGAAGGGGACATTGTGAAGAAGAATTATCGTTTACGAAAGCCGCCTATCACTTTGTCATTTAATATTATCACACATTACATATTCAGTGACGCATGATTTGTTTGTATCGTCCCTGTGGACGAATATTTCATCAAGCCGATATATACGGCCTATTGTAATCAAATTGCCAAAGGTAAGAGACCGCTGATTTATTATTGGGATTGGTGGGTTAGAGTGAATCAGGGGAGGTTTATAAAAGAATGACAGTCTCTTGGGGAGGGTCGTTAGCAAAACAATACACATATTTATTTATTTATTTATTTATTTATTTATTTATTTATTTATTTATTTATTTATTTATTTATTTATTTATTTATTTATGGGGGGAGGGGGTAATAAAAAATGGACAAAATATACATTGATTTACATGTTGTCTTTTAGGGATAACAACGACATTGGGAGGGTAATAAAAAATGTGAAAAGCCGTGGGAAGGTTCATTTTTTTCAGTACGTCTGCTCCAATTATATCTAAAAATGTAACTACCAACTTAAAATTCAGAACGGTTTGTTTACACCGATCCACGTTGTATTATAGCCGTTTATTGGTATCGTCGTTTAAAATACTGTCAGACATTAATTTAATTTTGTTAAATGAATAGGAAATTGGTAAAGTCTACCTTTATATGAGTACTGCTGACCTCTCCTATTTATCAGAATGTTAATATATGAGTAATTTAAGTACTGCATGTTTAACTAGGAAATTATTTTGCTATATGAAGAAGTTTAATTATTCAAGAAATGTGGGGATTACACACATGGTTTGAAAGCATTCTAACTGTACATTGATCAGAGGGAGACATCAGCTCGTTGAATTTACGAGGTGCTCAAGCACATAAAGTTTGACAAATAATTTTTGACCTAACAGCATCTAAGCATTTCATGTCATGAAAAAAGGTAACTCATCTGGGGGGGGGGGGGGGGGGGGGGGGGGTCATGTTATAACATTTTATTTAAAAAAAAACAACATATTGTCATATATGTCAAGCATATAGCGACCTGTATTCTGACCCGAAATCCGGGTGTCTCCTTAGACTTGCACAAGTCTCTAATGCAATACTTATTAGTTTAAATCATAATTTCCAGATTATGTAAATAATAAGAACAAGTTGTCCCTAAAAGAGACTGGGGTCCTTAGACTGTCCACATATCTAGACTTGCCTATCAGGAGATATAGTTACGGCATACCCATGGACCTAGACTAACATTTAGTCTCTGAAATCTTATATTACACAATATCCTTCTTGACTCTAAAAATAAAAATAAAATTCCCTATGCTGATTTCAGAATAGAGCTAGCTTGAGCTGGCTAGACTTGCTTTTGTATGCATTTCTAGATTATTATTTTTTCATAAAATAAATATATTCCACGGTCATGGTGCAGGACTACCATGGACCTTTCTTTAGTTCAGCCTTGGAGCAAGGCAAGACTTAGTGACTCTCTCTGTTATGCGTTACCCTATAAACTATATTTAGCCCAGCCGTCCGACCGAGGATGTTTCATCGCGACAGCCTCTTTACTGTTGGCGGTTTTAAGAGATTAACGTACTGTTTTGTTCAAATTTTTGGCCGTGTTTGCTCATCCGTGTTACATAAGGTTATCCTCCTGGACGATGTCAGTCAAGCGTGTACTGTCTGCTTGTACAGTGAAACACCTCTGAACTAACAGTTTACAGTGCGGGGCGGTTACGTAAGCTGACGTGTGACGGCCGGGGCATTGTAGATTTCAACAGGGAGTCTTGACCAGCACTACGACTGTTGAACGACTGCATCTAATTAAGCCAAATAAAAGCAACAATTATCATTATAAATATATCATGTATATGCTAAAATCAGAGCAGGGCCGAAACTACCATTGTAGCAGAAAAACAGTTGCAAAAAAGTAATATTATCAATTCGTTTTAATGTTCAAATCTCATTTGTCATCATATTTGTTTTTTGAATGAAAGTCGAAAAGGTGTTGGTGAAACGCTTATATATATTACAAATAAAAAGTTACAATGAAACATCACCAATATTTGTTACAAATAAAATCTAACATAAACGGCCCCAAAATGCAGGAAATAGCGTTTAAGAGCATTTAATATTCTCAAATTTCTGGGTAAGCATACCCCCAAATCCTAATAGCTCTTCAGCAACCAATGCTTGCCGTAAAAGGCGACTATGCTTGTCGTAAGATTCGACTAACGGGATCGGGTGGTCAGGCTCGCTGACTTGGTTAATGCATGTCGTCGATCACAATCGATGCTCATGATATTAATCACTTGATTGTCTGGTCCAGACTCGATTATTTACAGACCGCCGTCTTATAGCTTGAATATTGCTGAGTGCGGCGTTAAACAACAAACAAACAAACCCTTGTAATCCATGAAACAAGTTGGAGCAGTGAGGTTGACCAGAGGCTGTCAAGACTTAAAGACCATTTCCAAGCTGGACTGAAGACAGTTTTGACGTGTTACGAGGTACTTAGTCATGATGGACGAGTTCTTTTTTTGACCGAGACTCTGTGATTTTATGTCTGAAATGTCCAATGAATAAGAAAAAATACCAAACATCTATTACCACTTTAGACTAATAATATTGACATGCAGAACTATACCACCTTTTTCAAGGTGGAAGGTAGTAATTTGTTTATTTAACACCGTGGGCATTGGTAGACTCCATCCCCGTGGCCCCCTCACAAACACATGCAAAGGCAAGTCAATTGTTCACCTGAACAAACACGGAAACATATGATACAAGTCGAAATAGAAAATAATTTTGGTCACTGGTCCGTCAAAACCAATTCACATTATGAAAATAGGCAAGTCTCTAGCTAGATATAATATAGAATAGAAACATCTCGTGTAACACACTGACATGGGAGTTTACAGAAGTTCCAGTGCGAAATCGGAACTACAGGAAGCGCTAGTAAAATATCAAACATTGCCCTGGGCATCAACCCTGATTTCAGTAAATTTGTTCTACGTCCCTATATTGCCCACATTGAAACAACTCAACACGGATGAATGTATCTCAAATTCTCGCCTCTTACACGACAAATTGAGTGAGTGAGTGAGTTGGGTTTAACGCCGCTTTTAACAATATTCCAGTTATATCGCCGCGTGTCAGCTTCATGTGGGAGGAAAGCCCCAAGTGATGCAGGTCTCAGACGTTTACCACTTCGGTGAAACCCACGAGCACGGGTATGGTGCTGACAAACCAAGAAACATAATCGGGGCGAACCGGGATTCGAACTCACAATCGTAGGTTTCTGGCGTGCCCAAGGGACGCAACTCTGCACAGCGAATCGCGGCGCCTTAGACGACTGGGCCACCCGTGCCCCCTTATTTTGGACTAGACAACACACAATTCAACTTTATTGGTATCAAAGCTTTGAAGAAAACATAGCTCTCCACATCATGTGAAGTTGTATATATAAAAAAACATATTAAAAAGCAGAATGATGGAATACATATAGAATGATTTTCTCTGTTGTGACAAAACGTCACAGTTGCACTAAAGAAACACCAAACCATCTGCCCGTGTGTTAAGTTCTGAAACACACTCACTCCAAAATAACGTCTGGTTTTTAATTTGATGGACCAGCGTGCGTGCAATCACATAAAAAAATAGTCATACCAGAGTCCACAGCTGACACGTACACGATGAGTGTCCCTACTACGCACTGAGGTTTTCAACTTTCCGGAGTCACGGGATTATTGTCATCAGCTGATTGAAATGAAATTCAAGTAGGTTATATATACAAACAAATGTCATCACATGTGATTATCATTCTGTACATATTTCCTATTACTATGCTTGCTATACGAGGTTTGCAAGTTGTAAATGCGTCTCGTGTAGATTGCCTGTTTATCAATTAGTCCCTGACATCCCAACTGGTGAATCTTTTCCCAAGTTATATTCACACACAGTGTTAACTGGTTGATCAAAATCCTGCAATGTGTTGGAATAGTCAAACTACTTCAACCGATAACATAATTGTTGTGTTATGAAGTTAATATGACCTCCATATATGTTAACTCATTTCAGTTTCAGCCGACAATTTACAGGTGTCTATAGATCTTATTACGATAGTATCCACTGTGCGTCTGGTCAAAGGTAGTTAGTTGGTTGGTTTGTTGTTTAACGCCACACTCAGCAATGTTCCAGCTATATGACGGCGGTCTGTAAATAATCGAGTCTGGACCAGACAATCCAGTGACTGACACCATGAGCATCGATCTACGCAATTGGGATACGATGACATGCATCAACCAAGTCAGCGAGCCTGACCACCCGATCCTGTTAGTCGCCTCTTACGACATCCATAGTCGCCTTCTACGGCAAGCATGGGTTGCTGGAGACCTATTCTACCCCGGATCTTCACGGGTCTGGTCAAAGGTAATGGTCAAAGGTAACTTATAATAATACGAGTGTCAGTTTGTAACGCCAACGACTCGCATTTGGGTTCACCCTCAGTTTAACTAACTTTTTGTTAACACAGATTTTAGTGCTAATGCAATGTTTGTTACATGACTCAGTAGATCGTAACGAAATTAAAGTTTCTGTTTTGTGAACATCATCGTTTGAAACCAGTTTTGTATAATAAACCTCAGTTCAGGGGCGTATCAAGATGGAGTGAAAAAACATCATCTATAATATAACAAGGGCAAAAGTGAGCGTGGCTCACTAATACCCCCGACCCGCCTTGTGTGTCAGTGGTTTCAAATTAAATAGCTTAAAAATAGTGCCACGCGTGGCCCTGTAGCTCACCTGGAAATACCAAGTTTCAGTGAGATAACTGAAAAAGAGAAAAAGTGAAAAAGTAAGCAGAGCTTACTAATACCCCCAACTTTTTAGTGTCAACTCTGCTTGAGTCATGCAAGCTATTTTCACAGTACTAATATAAATTAGTAAAAATGTAACCAGATCGAGCCTACAAATACCCCTGATTGTTAAACTTTTATACGTTGACCATGTTATTGTAAAAAATAGTACCACAATATAGGGTTAGGGTTTGAAAAAATCATAAAAAATGGAAAATTAATAAAAACTTTTTTTTCTTTTGATAGCACCCCTCCGTATGACACAGATTATATGTACTAAGTTTGATATGAATTCACTGAATAGTTTAAGAGAAATCGCGCGGACAAAGTTTTCGGACGGACAGACGGAAGGACGGACGGAACCTTGGTATAACTATATACCCCCGATCCCGATAATAAAAACAAACTGATGACACTGCACCATGGCACCTTGTGCATGCATCTTGCCCTTGTTTCGCCAGTACCAGCCGATCTTCGCAGTTTTCACTGTACTGTACGACTGTTGCAGGATTTCACACTGACCTTGCCGTCGTTATGTAAAAAAACTGTTGACTCCAGTAAAGAAGCCTTCAATTAAAAGGGAGAGGGCACTCCGGGTAAAATAAAACTTCAATTTAAAACACTTTTCATAATTAAATAAAATCACAAAGACCTGGGCCCACTTGCACAAAGCGATCTTAGCGCTAAGATGATCGTAACTCCCATACGTTAACATAGGCTTACAATAGTCGTAGCGCTAAGATCGCTTTGGGCAAGTGGGCCCTGGTCTTCAGTAAACTTTTACTGGGGACCCAAACAGGTAATTTTGTGCAAGTATCAGGTTAATGAGTGAGTGAGTATGGTTTTTACGCCGTTTTTAGCAATATTCCAGCAATATCACGGCGGGGGACACCAGAAATGGGCTTCACACATTGTACCCATGTCGGGAATCGAACCCGGGTCTTTGGCGTGACGAGCGAACGCTTTAACCACTAGGCTACCCGACCGCCCCTAACAGGTGAATGAACAAACACGGTCATATTCTATATAATCAGATACGTTAACGTTACTTGGTAACTCTGATTCTCTGTAGGTTCTTTTTTTGCCAGAAATGTCTCAAAATGGCCAATAAATGTACCAAGACAACAACGTTCCTCACTCAACTTAACACGATTAATTGTATGTATCATGATTTCTGAAAATCTCATGATGCGAATTTCATCATGACACTGTTTACTTGTGTCAAACATTTTTATATTTGTTCTGAATTTAATTACTACATTAAATGTACACCTGAAGATCAATTTGATAATAAAGATTTCGTCAAAAAGAGAAAATATTGAGTTTTAGCAGAAAGCTAACAAAGAACAGAGTTTGAAACCACTGGTCGTCGTTAATGTATCTGATGCTCTGGGTGTTTTTTTTTTAAACTTCATAAATAATTTTTTTTTTAAACTCACAAACGTTACAGTATGTTTCCATCAAAACCATCGACCTAACAGTTATATCATAGATATAATACTTTTTAGCAACATATGTTTTAGAAACAGGCTGATGAACATATAAATCAGATACGTTAAATTATCATCAGATACGTTAAATTATCATCAGATACGTTAAAGTATTATCAGATACGTTACCTGCAAGATTCAGTGTTTGTGGTACACATACGCTCGTAATAATACAATATATGATCCGTTCATAATCTTAAATTTTTAAAACCTATATTACCATCAATATTGTCACGTCGAGTTTAAAATATTACTTACCGAACAAAATGGAATATTTATAGGATTTGTTTAAGAAATTGTGCTCAAAGACAAGTGCTCAGAATGGAAGTGGCATGACTCTTTACACTTTGAACAATGAACAGGTTTTCATAATGAAAATCTGAATAAAATGTATACAGTTCACGTATTGATGAACACGTATCTGATGCCACAAATAAACAAAAGAGCGACATACATTGCCCTTTAATCCACTACACATCTCCTGGACATACACCACACCCTTATCTCGCTGTTCATTCTGTCAGAGGGCGGTCGGGTAGCCTAGTGGTTAAAGCGTTAGCTCGTCACGCCGAAGACCCGGGTTCGATTCCCGACATGGGTACAATGTGTGAAGCCCATTTCTGGTGTCCCCCGCCGTGATATTGCTGCAATATTGCTAAAAGCGGCGTAAAACCTCACTCACTCACTCACTCATTCTGTCAGAAAGTATCAAATCGGTAACTGGTTTAGTGGTTTCACAATCCGTATTTGTGTGTTTAACGTATCTGCATGATGAAAAACGAATGTAACAAAGATAAAAAAAATAAGTTTTAATTGTAGCATGCTTGCTTGAATACACATGTCAAAGCTGTAGTTTGCTGTTTCACAATCAGTTAATACACGTGTTTATGCATTATTCAACTGTGTAATGAGTTCAATTCAAATATTATAACTACGATTTCAAAAGGGTTTAACGTGTCTCATGATAACTTTTGGGACAGATTCATAAATGTTCTCAGTCAAAGACAACTGGCAATACTGATGTAATGTTGTTCAAATACAGTGAGTGCGTGAGTGAGTGAGTGAGTTGGGTTTAACGCCGCTTTTAACAGTATTACAGTTATATCGCGGCGTGTCAGCTTAATGTGGGAGGAAAGCCCGAGGTGATGCAGGTCTCAGACGTTTACCACTTCGGTGAAACCCACGAGCACAGGTATGGTGCTGACAAACCTCGAAACATAATCGGGGCGAACCGGGATTCGAACCCACAATCATAGGTTTCTGGCGTGCCCAAGGGACGCAACTCTGCACAGCGAATCGCGGCGCCCTAGACGAATGAATCACCCGTACCCCCTGTTCAATTACAGTTTCTTTGTCAATTTTATTCACAAATAACACAGAACATTATATGCGTATTGGGAAAATGTGAAATATAGTTTCAAAGTTCTGATGTATGTAGGCGAGGGACAAGAGTAAAAATGCAGTTATAATATATAAAACAATGTTTTCATGAATATTCTGATTTAACCACATCTGGTATATACATATCGAAATTTGTACTTGTCCATAAAAAAAACAATGATGACTGAGGGGCGTCAAAATCCACTTAATGGAGAATGAATGTTAAATTCACTGAAGGTGGAGGTACATCAATGTATAGTAAATGGGGATTCAGTTTTCTCGCAAAAATAATTCTTTTATGTCGGTTAAGAACTTAAAAACGTAAAATTTATAACATAAATTCTGTTCCTAGACTTGGCGACCAACGTTTTACGAAAACTAATATTCCTTTTGAAAAAGTCACCAGTATTTCATTTTCTTAACATTTGGATTCATTCATGAGATATGAAAACAATGTAAAATGTCTAAAATCTCTCAGTACTGCAGAAATGAGTTTTGTTTAACCATAGTATTCATATAAGTCACTGAAGCAGATATAACAAATAAATAAATAGATTGTTCAGAGCCTTGTCTGATAAACCAAACAAACGCAGTTTCTTAGCAACCGGTTAAAATGTACTGCACAGTCACTGGCGCGCGGCGTTAAAATAGTGTTAAAACCAAAAAAGCAATTATAAAAATATCTTTTATGAGAGACCCGTGTCAGTGTAGCTCGCACTCGCCCGTCTTCTACATAGGAATAAAGATCGGACACCTCGTGACACCTCCGCGGTAAGCTCACTTGAGACCTGCTGAGATGTTTCAAAGTGTAATTTGCAATACCCAGAACAGCTTTAAAAATATGCTTTGGAAGTCCATTGATGCACATAGGATAGACAACACGGTCGACGGACAAATTAATATGTATACATGCAATTTCATTTAACAACGCGGTTAAGAAATGATTCATATAAAATCTTAGTCTTCCCCGCAGTCGGTAGAATGGTGAAATGACTGCCACCTTAGATCATAGTGATCTAATAATGAGATTATAATTCATCACCATTAATGTTGCCTTTACTCTTATGGAGAAGACGGCGAGTGCGAGCTAGACTGGCACTGGTCTCATATAAAATATTTTTTTAACTACATCTTTGTTGTTGTTGTTGTTGTTGTTTAAACACTATTTTAAGACGCGCGCCTTTGTGGACAAACTCCCAGACACCGCAGTGGTAATGGTTGTTTTAACAAAACAATCTGTACTTTTTCTTTGAGCAGAAAATGCTGATCAAATAGGAAAGTCTTCATCCTACAACAGTGAGTGAGTGAGTGAGTTGGGTTTAACGCCGCTTTTAACAGTATTACAGTTATATCGCGGCGTGTCAGCTTAATGTGGGAGGAAAGCCCGAAGTGATGCAGGTCTCAGACGTTTACCACTTCGGTGAAACCCACGAGCAGGGGTATGGTGCTGACAAACCTAGAAACATAATCGGGGCGAACCGGGATTCGAACCCACAATCATAGGTTTCTGGCGTGTCCAAGGGACGCAACTCTGCACAGCAAATCGCGGCGCCTTAGACGACTGGGCCACCCGTCCCCCTCCTCATACTAAAGGTGTTCTTTACTGTCAACAATAATAGATAACAACTGTCAAAGGTTATCACGCAATGCCAAACCAAACAGCATTTAACACTGCAAACTCAAAGTTTTCTTTGAATTCGCTGTATTCATCGTAGGTAACAGGCAATTTTTAAATGCAGCTGCAGGTATTGGCCGTTGGATATCTAGATATCATGTCTGGTGAATCTGGCAGAAACTCAAGTCATGGGTTTGTATCAAATCCACAATGTGGTATGGATTCAGATCCAGTGGCGAACATCAATATGTCGGAGAACTGCAGCCTTGATTCCCCCTCTGAAACATGGCGAATAACACCCATAAAACAGGCATAGTGTATTATTTTTTAGTTTAAAACCACAGTTTTGCATTTGTGCCTGCACTGTGCTAAATGTACAAACACAAGATCAATTGCAGATTAAAATGTAATGCCTCCCTTCAGGGATATCAAATCATATATTACCTCTAAAACCTAAAGAAAATGCATTATAAGTCTCATTTGTATGTTCCCCATCAAAATCTTCATGAAAAATACCAAGTTTCATTTCATTTGAATACCGTTCACGTCACTCAGGTAGTCATTCCAATGCGCCAATGTGGACACTTCCTTTCGTCTTCTGTTTGTACCTTCAGGGTTCAGAACATGCTTAAAAAGTGCTGTGACGGTGTCGCATGCCAAGATTATCCACGGATTTGCAGAACAGATCACTACAGGAGTGAGTGAGTGAGGTTTTACGCCGCTTTTAGCAACATTCCAGCAATATCACGGCGGGGGACACCAGAAATGGGCTTCACACATTGTACCCATGTCGGGAATCGAACCCGGGTCTTCGGCGTGACGAGCGAACCCTTTAACCACTAGGCTACCCGACCGCCCATCACTACAGGAAAAAGGCTGTTTTCTCACTGTCTCACTGAACATATATACCTGAAAATCTTGTGCATATATATATATATATATATATATATATATATATATATATATATATATATATTATGCAGTTATTAACTTTCCTGTTTAAGCTACTCTGTACAACCTTGATTCTGGAAATAAAGAATATTTAAAACATAGTTTAAAATGTTTCTATGATGTCGCGTAAAACAACGTTAAGTTCAGTGTGGTCGGCTTTCAGAGAGATTGGCGTCAAAATCCGCCGTCAGCGGTTGGAAGGGGTGCAAGAGAAGCTGACAGCTCCGTATGGACAGGTATCACAACCAGTCAGTCCCAGGTCTTGTAGATAATCATGGAACGATTGGGAATCGTTTCATCTTCCGATGTTCAATAAGTGGTATTTGTTTGAAGAGCTGGGTTGTTGCTGAATGCAGCGTAAAACAACAAACAAGCACGCACTGTATGTTCATGGGAGTTTGATAGCTCACTATTTACGTGAAATTTGTGAAGTGTTTGAAAAGTGAAAAATAAGAGTAGAACCACACGTAAAATCACATATGGGGACAAATTGTGTAACCACAGGCGTTATCGTGTATGACAAGGAAGCAATAAAATAGATATTGTTAGCTCTTATTTTACCGCCTCCGTCTATAGAATGAAAAAATCGGACAGGCACAACTGATAAACAGTCGGATATAATTGTTTCGTACGTGACAAGCATCACAATCGCCTCTCGCCCACCGATCCATTATCAAGAAGAAATGACTGTCAGGCCCCACTACTGATACCGCGCAGTGTTGTTAGGACAAGGAACATAGAGAGACTTAGTACTGTCAACACACATACTCACCCAAACAGGTTTAATCAAGTACAATCCAATCATTCCAGCGATACGTACAATTTTAGGTCATTGTAGACAGCAGACGTCTACGGTACTATTTTCTATATTATAAGTTGTTATCTAGTAGCATGCGTTAATCGCATGGGTAGCATTCCTTTAGAGGGCGTTCATTGGTTTAAATTTCGGCTTTATCTGCGACATGGACCAATCGACGTCGCCGACACTGAACGCGACACTTATCACGACGATGTAAACAACTCTAAAATGTGTGTATATCTTGTCACCACGCATTGAGATTGTGATCAGATTTTGTGACAGATCCTGTTTGTGAACAGTTGCAAGCTTGGCTGCCGCACACTCGCTCAGTTAACAGGTTGTGGCGTATATATTTTCCAATATATCCGACGGGTCACATGTGCATGTGTACGCGCTGATTGTCACGTACACATTTTGACAGTGCCTCGTGCAATCACTGCTGCTGCACTCTGCACGGGCTAGTCCTTTGTCATAGTATCAGCATAGTCTCTGCGTACGTCTTCGTCGAGTGAGTTTCACACTACGTTGCCCTCATCATTCATTTAGCGGCTCAAAGTAAGTACAACATTGCACCTTTTATATTTTACCATGACGTTTTTATGCGTGAAATATAATTAGACTAGATTTACGTAGAATGTCTTTCTTCAAATTTGAGTAATGGTGTATTTTGACATTTAAATTGTTTAATCGGACAGAAAGTGGAGGTTATGAAACCTTTTCAGATGAAGAAGGATCTAAATCATCTTGAACTAACGAACAGCTGAAAAATATTAATGTGATGAACTTTCTGTTTAGTTTTATTCTAGAAGAAAAATCTCTTATATTTAATTTACTATAAACAAATATTGTGTACCATTCAACTGTCAGGAAATGAGAATAAGAAAATGAAAAAAATGTATCCGAGATTATTATGTCAAAAATTGTATAATAATGATTGAATTATTCTAATCCCCCTTGATTTATTCAACATGTAGCCTGCAACCTTGGGGTATCGTTGTACTTGTTATGTACTCTAAATGGAACAAAATGCACTCACTATATCAGATGTCATTTATTTTATCTGAATATGCATATATTACTGATAAAAGATAATTAATTACGTTAGTCATACAGAGTGAAAGTCAGTTTGACAAGGGAGTGAATTCATTTGTATCATGGTACAGGGAAAAATTGTGTATGTAGGTCTGAATTGGACAAAAACAAAAAGGATATAATTCTACCTACCACTAAGTATGATGATGCCAGACTTCAGTGATTTGTCCAGAAAAGACAGCACAAGTAAAATTCTGAATTCTGAATGCATAATTTCCGAAAAGTAAGAAAAAATATTTTTTAAAATCAACAAAATATCAGAAAAGATATTTTACAATTTTTTTGTTTAAAAAACAATGGGATGAAAATAGTTTGTCAAAAAAATGGAAAAATGTTAAAAGTTATCAATATATATATATATATAAAAAGCACTCCTAGTACCATATTTGACGTAATAAGCGCCCCACTCCAATAAGCGCCCACGGCGATATTTGTTAATATATATTGGCAAGTGAACAATCCAAATTAGCACCCCTTCCGACTGATCAATGTACACACAAGACTTATTTATTCGTGTAAAATACACACTCGTGTGTAAAATACACACTCGTGTGTTATATGCACCTTTAATTATGGGCAGTTAAATTCTGGAAAATATATCTGTCGTGTATAAATCTGTTTTTTCTCACTAAAATTATATTCTAATAAGAGCCCCCTATTTCTAATTTTGAGAGCGCCATGTATTACGTCGAATGTGGTATGTATTCATCATTTGGTTGCTAGTGAAAAACATATTTCTAAGTATGACATTATGGCCCTTATGATTTCCTATAGATTCTGGCCACAGAGTGGGGGAAAAAATGTGTTTCCGTTACCTTGTGCTTCCGATAATCTCGTTCAGGTTGCTAGAGAAAGTTTCCCTGGGGAACTGTGGGTTTTACCGTTGTCCATTGATAGATTGGGGTAAGGCAATATTAAAAAGATCCCAGAAGTAAGTATCAATGCGTTAATAAATCCTTACTTACAGCAGACGCAACATTCCATGGAAATTGAAATTGTTTAGAAGCAAGAATTTCCCGGTTGCTGATTTGCATAAATAGACATCTGATCAGAGGCGTGTCCTGCGTTATCAACTGGAAATCACAAATGCCGCGATACGATGAATGCCACAGTACCACAGGGTTGAAGTATATTCGGTCATGCGTAAGAATTGTATTGAAGCAAAGAAAGACCAATAATGATAGGAGGAAAAAGAGACTTGCCTTTAAATATTAATGTAAAAATCTTGTATCATATCCATTATTTGGTCGGATTGTTTAAAGACAATTAAGCTGGTTTTGCACATCCAAGTTTTATAACACTGACTAAAGGTGAGCTTCAGTACCTCTGGCATGCTGCAAGCATGCAGCTTCTATAATAGGGGGCTCATTCTGCCCACGGATGTAAAAGTTTGCTTCCATACCTAGCATTCACTGACATGTTTTTGTATGTTAGTCTCGCTCCGACTTCATCACTTTGGGGCGACTATTTGATGTTCTTGGGGGACCTGGGATATTTTTTGTTCCCAAAAGTGTTGGTTATACATAGTTAGTCCTCTGGTTTTGCCCCCTAAAGGAAATATTCCAATTACTCTGAATATGCTGGATGTTGTTAAAAAAATTGTTGGGTTTCCCAAAAATCGTTTGGCTCCAACAGTTATTCCCTGCAGCACTGACTGAAAATATATTTGTCCGAAACAAAAATCCAAAACATTATGAGGTCAGTCCATTTGTCCTTTGGATGGGGGCATGACTGAATTTTACCCAAACACTGTTGAGATGTTTCAGCAACAACCTGTCAGTTTAAACTATCACAGTTTACTTACTACGTATTTGTTATTTGCAGCAGCAAGTTAAGAGCCATGTCCATTGCAAAGCGAGTCGTCCAGGTGATCAACCTAGGACGCATGGGCTTCATGGCCGCTTCAGACGTCCAGCAGCGCTATGCTCGGCAACATTTTGATGAACTTGCTGGAAAATCAGTTGGAAGTGACACTATTCTTCTTGTAGAGCACAATCCAGTTTACACAACCGGAATCAGAACGTCGGGGTACGATGCCGATGATGAAAAAAAATTGAAAACTCTCGGGGCGGAATTTTTCCGAACCAATCGTGGAGGGTTGATCACGTTCCATGGACCAGGTCAGCTGGTCGCGTATCCCATCTTGAATCTGAAGCATTTTGAACCAAGCATGAAGTGGTACATTGCCAGTTTGGAAAAAACAATGATCGGAATGTGCAAGCATTTTGGTGTGTCAGCGAAAACAACACAGGACACTGGTGTGTGGGTGAATGATCGCAAGATTGGTGCTATTGGTGAGTCCTTCAATCTCAGATTATACACACACATGGTTATAGTATAGGGTAACGCTATTTTTCAGGGCATTATCATTTGCAGAAGCCCATGGTCTTCCATTAACTGCCCGGCGAAGGACAGCAGTTAAAAAGACTCATTTGGTGCTAGTGCCTCAAACTTGCAAAGTCTAAATCCCATTCATATGGACATTGTCAAGTTTGGGAATTTTTTAAATTATGAAAATCTAGGGGAACAAAGCATGTCCATATCCTACCTCATCCTTGTATATATATAGCATTGCCGGACTAAGAGCATATGATGTTTAAGTGAAGTGCATGGAGCTATTGCGCACATTTGCTATCATTATTCGAGTTATTACTTGGTCTGTTCTCGGTCCAGAGCTCCAGATAAGCTGCGTATCTGCGTAAAATATGCATCAGAAATGCAGAAATACGCAGTAAAATAAAATCCAAGTGTATCAAATACGCAACGAACATTACAGATACGCTACAAAAATACAACTTGTGCGTATCATCAAAATATTGTGAAGTAACCCTGCGCATTCGATTAGCAAATCAGCAACTTATTTTGAAATTATAAACGGGCATCCCGTCAACCTTGCCAAACTCCACGACGACAGTTACATCATGATCATTTGCCATCACACTTTCTTGTGGAAGTATCGTGGTATTTTTGAGTCCTATAAAGCTCTCGAACCTACACGACACCAGTTTGCAGGGACTAGATGAACAGTGTTTTTAAATATTTAACTTAAATACCCACATGTGTAAAAACTAGTGGGTAACAGAAATTTGAATACCCAGATAGAATTACTGATACCCAGTGATTTTAAAATGCATGGGTAAAATACCCACAACACCAAAAGCTTATCTGGAGCTTTGTCGGTCTCTTCACTTCTGTTAAGTGTTTCAATATGGCCCCTAAGGGATCAACCATTTGCTATCTGGGGGTGGGGAGGTAAGTATAATATGGCCGTGTGCATTGCAAAATATTTCAATACACTTTAAACCTCCAATAGCCATCCCTACTTACTTCACAGACACATCCCTACTGTGTGTAGAACCATCATATTAATTTGTTCATGGCATGGAATTGAAAAATTTCATAAAAGCTGTGGAAGATGTTGTTGCATATTCCTGTACGTGTAGGCTATATAGATATCCTATTATTATATTTTCCAGCATTAGAAATTGGCACTAAAGTACTCACGGAAATGAAAAAAACCTGTTTTTCTCAATTTAAAAATCGACACAAAGTGTTACATAGCTGTAAATACAAAATACCAAAACAACTCGAAAAGTACTAGTCTGGATTTGCTAGTTTGATCTCAGTGAACAATACAAAATGTACTTTGCAGGAGGTAATTTGTTGGCACTTTCAACATTCAAAAATAAAAGTAAGTCCAAATTGACATAGCAGAAACCGACTAAAGGCATTATGCACCTGTTCTCACCTGTCGTCAAGGTGTCATAGGTCACCTTGATCTACTTACACCTGGTTATGCCCTGTTTCACAATAGTCTGTTTTATTCACATTTATACACACTTTTACGTGTAAAAAGGCATAAAAACATTTGATACGCTGTATTTGTGCCACGGCCCAATTAGTACTAATTTAGTTGTTTGAATATTTACATATTTTGTATATTAACTGCATTTATTTAAGATCTGAGGTCGAAAAAACAGTTATTTTTCATTTCCGTGAGTACTTTAGTCCTGTAGTCCTTGCCAAACTGCCCAATGGTTAAGGTATCATAAGGACAAGTAGAAATTTGACATTCTTAAGGGTTTTGCTTTATGTTATCATTTTAAGGACTAGTGTTATAATGTTAGTTTCTACCACTGTTTTCAAAAACCTAAAGGCTGAAATTTGTCTTGGATTCAGATTTAGTCATATAGCTCTGGACAGTCATCCATTAGAGTTAAAACTCTTCAAGACTCAGATTTTTAAACTTTCATGGACTTTGTTGATGTATTTGATATCAAAGATCACTCGGGTGAACTTCTCTATTTGTTTGCTATGTCTGTGTTATGACATTTTCTAGGGCTGGGACGGGTAACTCGGGTACTCGGGTCGGGTGGGTACTGAGCAGGACCCGGGTACCCACAGGACTACCCGGACCCGTGGTTAGTCATGTGATATATTGTTTAATGACAAAACTTATCTAAAACTCTATGGTCACAATAAAAGTCACTAATGTTCCCATTTCTATCTGACTATGCACCCATTCCTTCTGACTTTGATATGTTTGAATAAAGATAAAACATTCAACAAACCTCAGTGTATGAATGACCAGATCATTTTATAGGTGCATCTAAATACATTTTGCCAGGGCTACGGTCAAACATTTCCCAATCGGACAGTTTGTACCAATCTCTTGAGACCTACAGCAGGTACCCGGGTAGGGTAGGGTCGGGTAATAGGGGGATCGGTACCCAGGTAGTAAATTTGGACTCATCTCAGCCCTAACACATTCTAGTCGTCTAGTTTGCAGACATTAGTAGTTGTTAGTTTGGTTGTTTGTTGTTTAACGCCGCACTCAGCAATATTCCAGTGATTGACGTCATGCACATCGATCCATGCAATTGGGATCGATGACATGCATCTACCAAGTCAGTGAGTCCGACCAACTGATCCCGTTGGTCGCCTCTTGCGACAAGCATAGTCGAAATGGGTTGCTGAAGATCTATTCACCCCGGATCTTCACGGGTCTGTACATATGTATGCTACATCAGTGAGCTATATAGCGGGGTTGTTTAAGTTTTCATGCATATAATGTTATCCAATATTCTGCATGCATGATGAAATGGCTTTCAGAGTATGAATAGCAATAACTTGTCGAGCGTATAGTTGACAGATGTCATGTTTTATTGACGAAGCAATCAATGTCTGACAATATGATTTATTTGCACATTTTTGGTGCGAGACACACCTGTTGCTGACTGGAAGAAAAGAGGTCTAATGTCTCAGATTTCTCTAAGAAAATAGCTGGAGATAAGTTGCGTATTTGCATAAAAACTGAAATATGCATACAAATCAAATCCAAGCGTATCAAATATGCAACCAAAACTATAAAACACACTATTATGAAGTTAATGGATATATTACAACCATTAGATTAAAGGAATATGTATGTTACAACTGTTAGATAATATGACTGTGTAGCAGCCGATCGCAAAATTAACTTACCGACAGTTACATTAGGAAGAGCTTGTTTGACAAACGTACTGATAGATGCCATTTGAAAAGCACATTGTGCCTAGTCAATGTACATATTGTTTCTTGAACAGTCGCTGATTGGTGATGAAAAAAATAGCACCTTTATTACAAATTAAGTTTTTCAAACAAAAATGGCTTCCCAGAAAGAGAGCAGCGTGCAGACGGGTATACTTCTACATGTACATTGAGGATTGTTACGAAACAGGTTTTCAAGTTAAAATACCCTAATGTCAAGAAACAAATGGGTAAAAAAATACCCTCTAAAAATTCTGGATGTCCAGTCAAACACCAAGTTAAAATACTAAAATAACCGAAAGCTTATCTGCAGCTCTGAGAAAAAGACAATATGTCGATTGTGTGGTGTATTACTGTGTGTTGCCTTGTTTCTTTACATGACGAGATACCATTCATACCAGTTCTCCCAAACACGGCTACACCCATGCTTCACTTCCCTTAGGGGGCTGTCGGGTAGCCTAGTGGTTAAAGCGTTCACTCGTCACGCCGAAGACCCGGGTTCAATTCCTGACAAGGGTACAGTGTGTGAAGCCCATTTCTGGTGTTCCCTGCCCTGATATTGCTGAAATATTGCTAAAAGCAGTGTGAAAAAACATACACATTCGTTTCCCTAAGGCACCAAATTGCTGTGCAGAGTTGTGTCCCTTTGGCACACCAGAAACCTATTATTGTGGGTTCGAATTCCAGTTTGACCTGATTATGCATCTAGGTTTGTCAGCACCATATCCGTTGTCATGGGTTTTACCAAAACGTCTGAGACCTGTTTTTTATTCAGACTTCCTTCCTACATTAAGCTGACACGTCGTGATATAAGGGAAATACTGTTCAAAGCAGCATTCAGCGTTAGAAGTTGGCACTAGTCCTTTAGTCCTTGCCAATCTGCCCAATAGTTGAGGTATCCTAAGGACTAGTTTAGATTAGCCCTTTATAAAGGTTTTGCTGTATGTTGTTATAAGGACTAGTGGGCTAAACTGTTAGTTTCTATTTGGCATTAGGACCAAATCACTCACTCATTTCCATCTTAGCATTTTAGCAACCCATGCTTGTTGCAAGAACAGTATCAGGTGTCCCGGCTCACTGACTTCTGGTTGATGCATGTCATCATATCCCAATTGTGTAGATTGATGCTCATGATGTCAAATGATGGAATGTCTGGCCCTGACTTGATTATTTGCAATAGACGTCAAATAGTTGGAATATTGTTGAGTGCGGCTTAAACAACAACAACAAACAAACAAACATGCCTTTTTTTAGCTCATCTGACAGCAGGTCCCCAGTACCCCATGCTTGTTTCACTGTTGCCTGTGAGTGTGTCCTCGTTTTGAACACTGCAATCAGCAATATTCTAGCCATATTGAATCAGTTTGTAAGTAGTTTCCAAACCAGTGATTGATACAATGAGCACAATCCAGTGCCACTGTAGTACGATGATACTCAATAAACAAGGACACCGTTCCTTTAAGCAACCATAGAGCTAAGACGATCGTAACTCCTACACTTTAACATAGACTTACGGCAGACGAGCGCTAAGACGATCGTAACTCCTACACTTTAACATAGACTTACGGCAGACGAGCAACAAGACGATCGTAACTCCTACACTTTAACATAGACTTACGGCAGACGAGCGCTAAGCCGATCGTAACTCCTTCACTTTTAACATCGGCTTACGGCAGTTGTAGCGCTAAGGCGATCATATTTCCTACACTTTAACATCGACTTACGGCAGTCGTAGTGCTAAGATTGATTTTGGTGTGTGGCCCTG